GGAGCTAGATATCTGAGGCCAAGGCCCCTTGGCTCCAAGAAATAACACATGGGCCTATGCCTTTGTTCTAATTGGTTCTTGCTTGCCTGAGAAGACACATTTCAGACTACCGTCCTCAATAAAAACTCCAGACCCAGTACAAAGATGACACTCCTGGTCTTTTCCTTTCTGAGTCTCCTGGTCATTCAGCTGTCTATTACCTGCTCTCTATTTTCAATAAACTGCTTTCACCTCCTGCTGGCTCACTTTTGATTTCCATCCTGTGTGAAGCCATAAAGAACTCTCTTGGCTGGTTCTGCAAGACCCCTTCGGTGTCCTTGGACCTGGCCTGTGGGCATCAGGGGGACTTCATGAAGCATTCTGCAGTGTCTGCTTTGGCCTAAGCCTTTGAGTCCTGGGTGCATGTATCCAGCCTTTTTCCAGATCCCATTAACTCATCAGCCTATGGGCTTGTACTCTGGGAGCACCTTTCCCCCCTTATCCTTGCCCTGTCCTCATTGTAAAACTGTATGTAGAAATGAACAGTCATTGCTCCTTACCCCAGACCTACATCTCCATCTCTGTTGGAATGAAAATTAAGGATATAGATCAGAAAATCTTAGAGGGAAGAGCTTTCAAATGCTTTCACATGCAATTTCTAATTTGATTTATATCAGTCCTGTGAAGTGAGATCTTTCTCTTATTTAACAAAAGAGGAAGCTGAGGGGCAAACAGATCTTAAGTGAATTCACAGATCTTAAGTGAATTCGTTATCACCTGGCCTGTGAAGAAAGTAGTGGGGGCTTGATGATCTATCCATTCAACTGACTTTTTTTTTTTTTTTACAACTGAAAAACTTGAACTCCAGAGAAGTTGTAATGGGTTCAGAATCACGTCTGTATAGTCTTGTAGCTGGACCTAAAATTAGCTCCTGATTACCAGTTTGGTATTCTTGACTTTAAACCCTGCTGAAAACAGCACCTTGTACTCCTAAGGAATTCAGAACAGGTGATAGTTCCCCTGTTTTAGAGAGGATGAAATTGAAACTCAAAGGAAGAAAATTGTTTGGCTCTGTTCACACCACCCATTAGTAGTAAATGCTAAGATTAGATTAGTTTTAGGGCTTGTGGCTGAAACATAGCCTCTGGGTGCTTTCTACTCCCACAATTTTAGCAATGAGTAATCTCCCTTCTGATGAAAAGAACAAAGGCAAGAGAACTGTAGATAAAATTAAATTTCCTTATAACCGGCAGCCCACCTGAGACTTGCAGAATGTGACCCTTCCTCATGTACCTCACAGCTGCCTTAATGTTGCAATGCTTTGCTAGAGACAAAAACCAACCTTATCTTGACAATAGCCAGAACTCCAGCATCCTGTAAGTCTTCTTTGACATACAGAAACCCCTTTAGAGACTTCTGTTATCTCTGCCTTGCTTCAACTTAAAAATATATAATCAGTCACACCTCACAATCACAGTGCAGGTCTGTCTGTCCACAGGTCCTGTCCACCCTGCTACAATAAAATCACCTTTTGCACCATGAAACATCTCAGGAATTCTTTCTTAACCATTGTGCTTGGGACGTCTAGGTAGCTCAGTGATTGAGCGTCTGCTTCAGCTCATGGTGTGATCCTCGAGTTCCAGGATAGAGTCCCAGATTGGGTTCCCTGCACGGAGCCTACTTCTCCCTCTGCCTATGTCTCTGCCTCTGTGTGTGTGTGTGTGTGTGTGTGTGTGTGTGTATCTCTAATGAATAAATAAAATCTTTAAAAAAAAAAAAAACCCAACCATTTAGCTCAATCATCCTGCATCACTTTTTTAAGTAGATTGTAATTTGTTTGTTCTCTATTATTAAATATACAGTGTGATTTTTAGAGTAAAATGAAAGAATCTGATTTAAGAAAGAATTTTACATTACAAATTGTTCATCTGAGAGCTTTCAAAAGGTTCGATTTTTATGCATAGGATTGCAGTATGGTAGTCCTTTGTGTTCTTTGATGATAACTTTAGTATTGGTGATTAGAGAGCTGGAATTCATTAGTATGCTGCCAGAGAACCTACCTTTTCTTTGTTGTCTGTTTGCCAACAATTTCAATTAGTGAAAAAGAATACAGAATTGTTGTGCCCAAGATTAAGTAACCGAGAAACCAAGGAGCCGACACCGATGCAAACACACAAGGGTTTATTTACAAGCTCGAGCTTGGGTCCAAGTATACCTGACACAGCGGAGCAGGGACTTGGACCCCGAGGTGGGTTTCAGTTTAGTTTTATGGGCTGGTCTAGGGGACCTCTAGAAGGGGTGGAGGAATTTCTCAAGTTCTGTTTACATTCCGATATGGGGCTTTCAAGGGCATTGAGCTCTGTTCTCATTCTAATATGGGACTTTCTGCCATGGGCGTTAAGCTCTGTTCTCATTCTAATATAGGGCTTTCTAGGGCATTAAGCTGTAAATTGTTTTTTTGGTTTTTTTTTTTCCTGTAACTGAAGTAATGTAAATTTCAGCTCTTATTCACAGGGGCCTGGGATGGCTGTACTTCTGCTAACACTAAACTTAAAGTGGAATGGCCTTAATTTTCTCGGCCTCCACAAGAACGACAAGGGGGCCAGATGAAATATAGGACAGCCAGTTAAAACTGAATTTCAGATACTACTTATACTAAGAAATTTCCATTGGTAGTGGGTGTGACTGCCTCCAGGGGTTGTAGAGCCTTCCTGGACCCCATCCCCTTTTGATCTGAAACTTGGGCAGTTCTAAAGGAGGAAGCAGCCTTGAAGACCTGCCTTTTTTTATGCCCCAGAGCAGGGTCCCCCTGGCAACATGGGGTACCTCTGGGGCAGGGTCACACCTGGCCCTTTGGCACCCCTATTTGTCACAACCACTTTGCTAACCTCTCCCTTCCCCAATAGTAAGTATAGTCACTTTTGTTTGCCCTTTTGTGGTCACTCCATTTCCTTTCTTGGCAGAGAGGGAAGAAGAGAAGCTGGGCAGTAGCTATGGGTGGGGGAGGGCACCTGTGGTTTTTAATGGGAAATACCTCTCAGAGATGCTCCTATGGGCTAGGAGCAGTGCTGCATATTTAAAAATAGTTATTCCCTAAGGCATACTCGGGTCCAGGTTGTATACTTGTGGACAATTTCTACTAAAGCAACTTTGAAATAGAGCAGGATTTTCATCAGTTCTTTCCTGAATTTTGTTAAAATCTATAGGTTTAGTAAAGCCTTATTTCATTCCTTCTATCAGGCAGGTAATCATATGATCTCGTTTCTTTCTTCCCTATCCTCCTGATAGCTACAATGTGGTTCAGTATTTGGGACAACAGCACCCCCCTCCACATAATGTTCTATGTCCTTGTTGACAATTCATCATCAAACTGTTGGGCACTGACCCAGATACAGTTTCTTTCCTCAGGGGTGCAGCAGTGAGTTAGTATGATATATATCAAACAAACACAATGGATCAAACATCATCAAACTTAATGGATATTTGTTGAAAACTCTCAATAAATTGAGAAGGGTTTTCAGAATGTAATCCTAATTGTTGTTTTATTTGACTGAAGTCTGACATGGAGAACAGGGCATGGACTTGAATAGTGCCCGTTTCTCCCTTAGCAACCTCTCTAAGAGAATATAATCCTAATATAGGAGGAGTTCCAAGGATATAAGGAGTCCTAGAGTACCCAGCTGAGCTCGGCATATAAGGGCCTTCAGGCTTAGAAGGAGAAGTGACTGAATAAGTGTCCTCTTCATTTGAAGAGGCTTGTTATTCCTTTGACAACTTAGATTCACTAGGTTGAAACCTGTTTAGATGATCATTATCCAATATATGAGGAGGAGGTTTGTTGGTCTGATTAGTGGCCAAACTCAAGAGGCCCTTAGGTCAGGGTCTGGATCTAGAACCCAGAAGCCTGAACATGGGGTTCTGTCCATTACCTTATTTCTTTCAATAGAGATCTTATAAGTCCTATTGAAAGTGAATGTCTCATTAGTGGGCCAGTTTTTCTCATTTCCTAGAGTACTGAGGCCATGCAGTATTGCAGTATTACAGATTAGTTTCTTTTTCCTTAAACCTTGCAATGCAAATTGTTTCTGATGGGTTAAAAGACATCCCAAGGGGTAGTCCTTGGGGATTGAAAAAGAAGCTCTGATGCATTACCAAGAAAATCAGCCCCATCCCTTGACTCCCAGGTGCCATCCCTTGTGCATGATATGTCAGAGTGGTGTCACAGTGACCTGAGGCATCCCTCAAATGAAATTGCTATGATCACCACCTTCTGTAAAGGCCCTATAGGAGGGAGGTCTGCCCTCCTCTCACTTCCCAAATGCATTCTATACTATGATGCATGCCGACATATGGACCAAGTTTACCCTGCTGTGAAGGCCCCACTGCACCTTGGCTTGCCTTCTAATGAAGGCTGTACCATGAAGGCCATGAAGAACCCACTGTTTATAACTCATGGAAAACACTTGAAAAGTTTTACAAGAGGAAAGTGCCCAATTTTGTAACTTAAGATGTTAGTAGAGGACATTGACCAACAGTAAAGATAAAAATCCATCATGATCTAAGTGACATTCCAATATCTGTGGTCTTTACACCCAGCTTCTCTAGGAAATGTTCCCTGGTTGGGTTTTAACTCACCTGAATACTGGTTTTGGCCAGCTCCCACTGGATGTCTCAAGGCCAGAAGCAGCAAGAACAGAGATGTGGAGGGGATCACATTAGACAAATGAGGAGGAAATCTCAAACAGTAGTCTCAAGATGGGCAGCCATGGTAGTTAGGCGGCTGTCTTATGCCCAAGACAGACAGCTTTGTATAAGGACAGGAATAAAGAGAGGGTTTCAGGTTTCTGGGTCTTATTACCATTCCAGCCGGAGTACTACCAGTCGGAAGACAGGCATTTTTCTCCTCAAAGAGTAGTCATGGGCTAGAGGATGGCAGCCTGAGCAATTGACATACAATATAAGACTACTCTTTGAAAAGCCCCTGGAATGAAAGTAATGAGGAGAGGTAAGAAAGTACTCACCAGTTTTCACCATGGCTTAGAGTCCAGAAGAAAAGACTTAAAGCTCCACACTGGATGCCAAATGATGTAGTTTTTGGAGTGGTGTTGTTGGTGTTCAGAGCTGAAGGTCAGGAAATAATTCTTCAAATATCTTCATTGCAAAAATTTGTTTTTTTTTAAAGCACAGGCACAGGACACCTGTGCAGAAAAAGCAGAATTGGGGTTGTGACTTTCAAGTTGGGTGGAAGTTAGGAACAGTACAAACCTCTAAGGTATTTTGGAAACAAGGTTTGCAGGATCCTTGGGGACCTAGCTATTTTTAGGGAAAGGTCATTTATTACTGTTTAGTAAAAACTCAGTCATGAGACTTTCAGATGTTTATCAGTGGGCCATATGCTTGGAGGGTGATTGCTAACACATATCTAGGTGGGGAGTAGAGATAAAGGAAGTTTCCAAAGGAATTTTTATGTTAAAGAAGACTTATAAGATCCTGGAGGCTGGGGTAATGTTAAGCTAAGATTGCCTTAAAAAGAAAAAAAGGGATCCCTGGGTGGCGCAGCGGTTTGGCGCCTGCCTTTGGCCCAGGGCGCGATCCTGGGGATCCAGGATCGAATCCCACGTTGGGCTCCCGGTGCATGGAGCCTGCTTCTCCCTCTGCCTGTGTCTCTGCCTCTCTCTCTCTCTCTCTGTGACTATCATAAATAAAATAAAATAAAATAAAAAAAAGCTAAGATTGCCTTTTGCCCTTAACAACATATTAACATTGAGGCAGCTTAGTTCCTAGAGGAATGTCACCTTGCCTATTTCAAGGACTTGCCAATGGGTTGTAAGTAGTAAGGAAATTTAATTCTTTCTTTGCCTTTGTTTTCCACATTACTAATAACTGGGCAAGTCCTCATTTACTGGGGCTGCTTTTAGCAAAGACCTCTGTGATATCACTGCTTCAAGGAACTATAATTCAAAAAGGGGATGATATTTTAATTTGTAATCCTACAAAGGAAACATCTGATAAAAATTCTATAACCTTAGCTTAATTTCTTGGCAGACAGAGGGTATCATGTCTTCCCTAAAAAGGCACAAATATCTAACCAGGAAGTACACTATTTGGGATATTAACTAACGAAAGGTCACCATTCTCTATATACTGATAAGAAAAGGCTATCTTGAGCCCCCAACTACTAAGAAACAACTCCACACTTTCCTAGTCATGGCAGGCTTCTGCCACCTATGAATTCCAGGAATTGGACTCTTAGCCAAGCTACTGTATGATTCAATTAAACCTCTTAATGAAGAGCCTTTACTCAGGACTAAAGCCCCCAGAAGACCTTTAGAACATTAAAATATAAGTTCCTATCAGTTCCAGATGTGGCTCTACCAAATTTTGGAAAACCTTTTACTTTATGTGTAGCAGAGAAACAGGGCCAAGCTCTGGGACTTCTTACCCAAAAATTAGGAAATAAAACAAGATCAGTGGGCTATATTTCTAAGCCAATTGATAGTGTAGCACAACGGTGACCACTTACCTGCAATCAGTGGCTGTGATTGCCCTTCTGCTAGAGGAAGCCTCAAAACTTACTATGGAGCAGTCCTGAACTGTGATGACCTCATACCAGGTCGAAAGTGTTACAGAAACTAAAGGTTAAAAAAAAAAAAAAGAAAGAAACTAAAGGTTAGGAATGCCTGAGTGGCTCAGTAGTTGAGCATCTGCCTTCAACTCATGGTGTGAGCCCAGGGTCTTGAGATCAAGTCCCACATCAGGCTCCCTGAATGAAGCCTGCTTCTCCCTCTGCCTGCATCTCTGCCTCTCTCTGTCTTTCATGAATAAATAAATAAAATCTTAAAAAAAAAAAAAACACCTAAAGGTTATCAATGGATGACAGAAGGCTGACTTACTAAATACCAGGCTATGCTTTTAGGCATACCTAAAGTGGTCCTTAAGACCTGTCAGACTAAATTCAGCTACTCTTATGCCTGGACCTGACTATTGTACTTCAATAGAACATAGCTGATCAGAGGTTATTTGTTTTGTTTTTTCTAGCCGATCAGACTGAAAAGATTCTCCTATTGATAATGCAGATAACAGTTGGTTTGCTGGCAGCAAGTTTTGTAGGAAAGGAGATAAGAAAATCTGGGTACATGAGGTGCTTGGGTGCCTCAGTTAAGTGTCTGACCCTTGATTTCTGCTTAGGTCATGATCTCAGGGTCCTTAGATTGAGCTCTGTGCTCAGCATGGAATCTGCTTGTCCCTCTCTCTCTGCACCTAAATAAATAAATAAATAAATAAGAAAAAGAAAAGAAAAGCTGGGTATGCAAATCAGTCTAACTCAGACTATTGAGGCCAAAGTTCTTCCAGGAAATACATCTACCCAAAAAGCATAGTTAATGACACTCATTCATGCTTTTTAGTTGGCAAAGGGCTTCAGAATCGATATCTATACTGACTCTACATATGCCTTCCAGGTTCCACACATGCATGAGGCAATATGGAAAGAGAGGGGGCTGTTATCAAGTCATAACTCTCCCATTAAATATGGACCTGAAATAATAGCTCTCTTAGAAGCTGTGAACAAACCCAGAGAGTGGGCTATAATTCACCTCAGGGGACATCCAAAGGATGACACTATGGAATCTAAAGGGAATAACACAGCAGGTCATGCAGCCAAGGAGGCTGCTCAAAGCCTGTAAACACTGAGTCTCATAGCAGTCCTGTCACCAAGAAAAGATATATGTCCAGTTTATTCAGATCAAGAAACCTGAGTAACCCAGGAACAGTGATTTTCAAAAAGAAATGTGCAGGACTAGCTTATAAATGATAGAGGAAAAGTCTTTATACCCAGAGTCAACCAATGGAAACTAGTTCAGGGATACATCAGGGTACTCATTTGGGTAAAAAGGCCCTGAAACAAATGGCTAAAAACACCTATGATGGAATTAACTTAACCACTACCATAAAACAGTTCTGTCAGTCATGCGCTATTATTCATTGAGCACAACCAAATCTAGAAGGTGCTACTCGTCCCACCCTTCCCTCTTGGCCCCCCTCTTGCTCTTTTAATGGCAGTCCAAAGGCAGGGGACATATCCTAGGGAGGGCTGGCAATTAGATTTTATGCAAATGCAATCTTGTAAAGGATGTAAGTAAATACTTATGAAAACACCTCTACTGGTTCCCTTGTAAAACAGTAAAGGCTACTGAGGTGACAAAAACATTGCTAAGGGAAATTGTCGCTAGATTTGGACTCTCTTGGTTTCTACAAAATGACAACAGACCTTCTTTTATTGCACAAATAACTCACCAAATAGGTTGGGCCTTAAAAGTTACCCTTTACATTAGGTCTGGTATCCACAATCCTCTGGAAAGGTGGAAAACGTTAACCACACATTAAAGTGGCATCTTCCCAAACTAGAGATTGAGACTCAAGAAAACTGAATTACTCTTTTGCTAATAGGGCTTCTCAGAATGAGGATTGCCCCAAAACAACCGGTAAGGTTAAGCTCCTTTGAGTTACTAAATGGAAAAAGTTTAAACTCCTTTTTCAAATTGTAGACCTATCAATAGATGGAGACTATAGTGCTCTTTATTTTTTTCATTTTTTTATTTTTTATTTTTTATTCTCATCTTATAGTGCTCTTTAAATTAATCACTTAAGGCCATATTAATTAACAAATCTCTAAATGAATATGCAAACCATATCCCTCCTAAACCTGATCTGATGGTCTCTAGCAACCCACCCTATATGAACCCCAGAGACATGGTTTATTTAAAAGATGGTAAGTCTAATACAGCAGGGAATTTAACTCCAAAACAGAAACAGCCCCTACCAGGTCATTTTATGTACTCCCACTGCAATAAATATAAAGGGGCACTCTTCATGGGCTCTTATATCTAGAAGAAAACCTGTTATCTACTTCACAGGAAATCAATATGGAAACTCACATGCCTTTCTATTCCTGTGAACCTATGGGAAGACCTCAACTTTCTCCTCAAAGGACAATAAAGAACTGAAGGAAAATTTTAGTTAACTATTAAAGATCTTTTTATTTAGTCTTCTCTTTCTTTTTTTTTAATAAATTAATTTTTATTGGTGTTCAATTTACCAACATACAGAATAACACCCAGTGCTCCTCCCGTCAAGTGCCCCCCTCAGTGCCCATCATCCATTACCCCCACCCCCCACCCTCCTCCCCTTCCACCACCCCTAGTTCGTTTCCCAGAGTTAGAGTCTTTTTCTTCTCCCTTCCCTTATATTCCCTTACACTGTTATTTATATTCCCCAAATGAATGAGAACATACACTGTTTGTCCTTCTCCGATTGACTTACTTCACTCAGCATAATACCCTCCAGTTCCATCCATGTTGAAACAAATGATGGGTGTTTGTCGTTTCTAATGGCTGAGGAATATTCCATTGTATACATAAACCACATCTTCTTTATCCATTCATCTTTCGATGGACACTGAGGCTCCTCCCACAGTTTGGCTATTGTGGACATTGCTGCTAGAAACATCGGGGTGCAGGTGTCCCGGCGTTTCATTGCATCTGAATCTTTGGGGTAAATCCCCAACAGTGCAATTGCTGGGTCGTAGGGCAGGTCTATTTTTAATTCTTTGAGGAACCTCCACACAGTTTTCCAGAGTGGCTGCACCAGTTCACATTCCCACCAACAGTGTAAGAGGGTTCCCTTTTCTCCGCATCCTCTCCAACATTTGTGGTTTCCTGCCTTGTTAATTTTCCCCATTCTCACTGGTGTGAGGTGGTATCTCATTGTGGTTTTGATTTGTATTTCCCTGATGGCCAGTGATGTGGAGCATTTTCTCATGTGCATGTTGGCCATGTCTATGTCTTCCTCTGTGAGATTTCTGTTCATGTCTTTTGCCCATTTCATGATTGGATTGTTTGTTTCTTTGCTGTTGAGTTTAAGAAGTTCTTTATAGATCTTGGAAACTAGCCCTTTATCTGATACGTCATTTGCAAACATCTTCTCCCATTCTGTAGGTTGTCTTTTAGTTTTGTTGACTGTATCCTTTGCTGTGCAAAAGCTTCTTATCTTGATGAAGTCCCAATAGTTCATTTTTGCTTTTGTTTCTTTTGCCTTCGTGGATGTATCTTGCAAGAAGTTACTGTGGCTGAGTTCAAAAAGGGTGTTGCCTGTGTTCTCCTCTAGGATTTTGATGGAATCTTGTCTCACATTTAGATCTTTCATCCATTTTGAGTTTACCTTTGTGTATGGTGCAAGAGAGTGGTCT